TTGAAATGAAAGCCCTTATCTACTTAATCTTTGGACTACACTAAAAAATATATTTTCTAATTAATAATAGAACCTGAAGTTTGGATCCCAGAGAATATGAATTGAATTTAACAAATATATACTATTTTAAAACCTGCTAAAACAAACCAGCCTCTTACCTATAAGCCTGCCACCATTCTGTTTTCCTTGCCTATAAGCATTTATATTTATGTATTATTAAAAGGGCAAACTGCTTGTTTTTTTTAATACTTTTACAATTGTGCTTTTATAATACTGTATGCAGTCTTGTAGAAAAATGAATTTTTCAGGGAATTATCATTAAAGCACCCTAATATCTTTTCAGTTTTCTCATTTTTAGGTCACTGTCCCTAGTTCCTATAATTAGAAATAACAATGAAAATTTTTTTTTCATCTATATTGTTTGCTTAGAGCAAATTCTCAAAAGTGGGACTACTAGATCAAAGGATACTGCACTTTTTTTTGAGACAAGGTCTCACTAAATTCTTAACTTCCTCAAGTTAGGCACCAACTTGTGATCCTTCAGCCTCATCCTCACAGATGCTGGAAGACAGGTTTTTGCCACTATCCTTAGCTCTATTTTTTATTATTTAACGGAGAATCTTTAGTGAGGGCCTTCTGTGAGCATTAATTTGCCTAACATTTATAGAAATGCCTTAGTATATCTATTTTTTATAATCAGCAATGTTTATCACAGAGAAAAAGTTACTGATACTTAAAATTCCATGGCACTCTTAGCATCCATTTGAAGAGGCAAGCCTTAACAGAAAGAATGAGTGTAGTTTGGTGTGGCAGCACAAGCCCCTACACCTAGCTGCTCAGGACCCGAGGCAAAGGGAAAGCTAGCAAGGCAATTTTGCACCAAAAGAGGGGAGAAAATGAGTTTGTTGGTCTGATTATAAGGTTGCTTATACACTCTTTAATGACTGTCTTTCAGAGTCCACCACTCCTCAGCAAAAACAAAGCCAACACAACAAAGGCTTATCTAGCCCTTCCCTAGCTCACAGACAAGAGGTGGCCTTGCAATGTCTGGCACATCTCAGCAATTCCTTTGGGTGCTGGGACTTGAAAAACCTCTACAGCAGAAATCCATTTAAACTTAGATGAGAGAGGGGAAGAAGGAGAGATTATTAAAGACGATGACAGCCATCTGCGCTCCCTCCACAGCGAGGTGAGAAATGAAGATGCAGAATTCATTAAAAAATTACAAACAGTTAAGCTCAACAAAAATTTCAAAGCGGTGTGCTAAATGGCTAGCTCACTACAATGTACATCAGACAGCAGGCAAGCGTGCACCCACAGAATATAGCTTTCATTTTATTTGCATTTTAAGAGTAATAAAATTACTTACACACCTTTCATTCTTTCATTTTAGCCACTTGTTTACCAAAATTCTCCTTCATACAGGGTAAACTGGCTCTGAGGAATTAACACCACAGAGCGAAGGCTGAAGAGGTCACAGGCAAGATCACTGGTGGTGCTGCCGGGGACCGAGGTCAGGGGGTCTCCTGCCCGCTAGCGCGATGTTCCCTCCCAACCCTCCAGACTTGGTTTTCTCCCATTTTCTTTTTGTCTTGTATGACTGCAGTACACAACGATTACATTCCTCAAAGGAGTGGGAACACATCGACAGCAGATCTTCTTTGCCTCATCCTCTCTTCCCTTTTCTTGCCCTCCCTCTCCTCTCCTTCCACCTCTGGATCTTATTTACTTTGCAAAACATACACTTCCCTTTTCCCTACTGCCTTTTATTTTTCTCTTTATTTATATTCTGGGTTTCTCCTTTCTGAAAAGCCATGAAATATTTAAGCTTGTGTCTCTGATTTATGTCATTTAACATTACGGTCTTGAGGTGCACCCAACTCCCTACAAATGGTTCAAGCTTGCCTTTCCTTGGAAACACTAGTACTTCATTGTGTGTAAGTGCATTTTTTTTATAACCCACTCACCTGTGGACATATAACTGTTTCTCAGATTTGTCTATTATGAACTGTGTTGCCACACATGGGTATGTATGTGTAACTACAGTATCATGTCTTTAACTCTTTGAGGAAGATAGCAGAAATGGCTTGGTCAAATGGAATTTTTACCTTTAATTTTCTGAGGAATCTCCATGCTGATTTCCATAATGGTTGTAACTAGTTTACACTTCTAACAACAATGAAGAAGGGTTTCTTCTTCCCAGAAATCTTGCCAGCATTTGCTTTTAAAAAATTTTTGAGGATGGTCATTCATATGGAGTAAGAAAGAATCTCAGTGCTGTTCAATTTGCATTTCTCTTATGACCAAGGGTGTCTGTATTTCTTCTGAGAAGTATAGTTGTTTACTTTCTGATTTGATGTTATTCTGAAGTCTTATTTCTTTTAGTTCTTTAATTCTCTAGGTATGAGACATCTGTCCAAGGAATAGGTGGCAAAAATAAAATTTCTCTATCTATAGCTCCTATTTTTGAAAACTTTAACAAAAATGCTATTCTGTAAAATACCTATAATATAAATATGATGAGACTGAACGGCTACTTCAGCAGTATAATTATGGCCTATTCTCAGAGTTTTCATGTTAAGTCCATTAACTGTGGCAAATATGTTATATAAGACAGGAAGAGTTATTCATCAATTAAGACAAAACACTTAAACATAAATTTCTAACAAAGTTGGATGCAATGAGTCAAAAAAACTTTGAATAATTTGTTAATTTGTTAAATTTAATAAATGAATCCACTACCTATAGAGAAAACAGATTAAAATTCCCCTTAAATTTATTTGGCTTCCAGAAAATTTCATAAAGTTATTCTTACTGTTTCTTAATAGTTAATGTAGTAAATGTTTTATCTAAACTTGAACTAATATCTACATTTAAAAACAAGACCTAGTTTTTGTTCTCTTTTTGAGACAGGGTCTCGCTATGTATCTCAGGTTGGTCTTGGACTCACTATGCAGGCCAAGCTGGCCTCGAATCCATGGTAATCCTCCTGCCTTACCCTGTCAAGTGCTGGGATTACAGACATCTGACATCACACATGGGCAGACCTAGTTTTAATAAGCCATAAATCTTTCCAACTAACTTTGAAAGCATTAGTCTATTTCATTTTTCTTCAATATAAATGATTTTCAGATATCTATGAATAGCTCTGAAATATTTTTAAAAATCAAACAGATGCATGGCATTAAGAATATACAAAAAGTGAGAAATATATATATACTGTATTAGGAAAGAAGGTACTAGCAAGTTCTTGCCTTTTTTTATATACTCCATGGCTATTTAAATTCTCTCAAACCTTGAACTTACTTCTTTTTGAACTCTATATTAGAAAATATGAAGACAGGAACTTCAATAAGAGATTCATCCATCCTTTATCCTAAAAGAGCCACTGATATTAGAGGATGTTATTCACTACTGTGAAAATCACCATGTAGCACACTATTAAGTCAGCTTGAGCTCATCAGTGATTCTATAAAAATGACATGGCCAAGCCATTAAAATGACAAAACTCACATTTCCTGAAGAAGGTAGATTTTATGGAAATGAATCAGGTAGCCTGTATATGTAACAGAATGCTAGCTCAGCATATTTTCAAGACTAGACTGAAAGTTAAATGATAAAACATCTTAATATTCAAAATTTTATATAGTTTCTTTATTACTGAGACCTCATTATTAGGAAAATCTATCTCTTCTTATAACCACTGGCCAGGTTTCTGGTACACATATGGTATTAAAAATCTATAATCAAGCTGGGATCTGACTTAGTCATAGAGCACTTAGCTAGCATGCAAAAGCCCATACATTCAATTCCCAGCAGTGTCAAAAACAGAAAACAAACAATCCATATTCAATGTATCATTTTAAGTGAGGTTTTTAAACACTGAGGCCTAATAAGGCTTACTTGTAAGGGTAGAGAATATTCATATCCTAAGTAAAACAGTCCAATTATTTATCATATTTCTCATGATCAGAGGGACTAATAAAGAGATGGTTGAGAACATATAGAGTGGTACTGTTAGTCATAGCATTTAGCTGGACCTGACATTGGTGAAGAACAACATCACAAGAAGCAGAAGCATATTTATAAAGGACATAAACACAACTGCAGATGGAAACAAAACTTTAAAACATAGATTAATTTAATAATTAGGATCTGATAAATCAAGCATTCTACTGTAAAACCTTCGAAGCACAAAGTCAGAGAACAAAATCTGTAAAAATAAATTTTAATCCATCATTTGCTTCTTACAAAGAAAACTTCAACAGATACATTCATTCCTTTTAATTTATTTTTTAAGTAATTATAGTCCCAGGAGGTTAGAAAAAATGTATAGAGAAGTCCCATTTACCACTGCTCCAGGTTTCAGTGTTAACCTATTACACAATTCTAGCAGGATAACAACAGACTGACCACACAATCCAGAGCAAGTACATGTATCTATGAAATGTCAGCACACAGGTAGCCCTACATATCATAACCACTACTACGATCAACACTTCAGATGTGTCATCCAAGATCCCTACGTTATTCTTCCATAGTCATAACCTCTCCTAAACAATCTGTGAACTGGAACAGGTCAAAACGCTAGCCTATTTTAGCTATCTTATCAAAAGCAGATGCCGTAATTACCAGGCACAAGCATTCTTTTTTATAATGTTTTAACTGAAAAAAAAAAAAAAACCCAAAGTTAAGAAAAACCACAAAAGTGACTGTGGAGAAAGTAGAAGGCAGCTGTGAAGGTGATGGTGTTATCCAGTAAGAAGGTGACCGGAGACAGGGTTTTAGTGGAGATTATGAACAGCTGCTACAGTCCCCTGAAATCGCACAGGGAAAGTACACTGAACTGCACAAACAGCTATGTGAGTTTCTCAAACTACAGAAGCTAACAAGAAATAGGACAATTAGCATAAATTCATTAAATAATTAATAGTAGTAATGACTATGAAAAACTTGTCTAGTTAACTCACTTTGTTAACCCCCCCAAACCCAATACTTACAGTCAAACTTCAGGACCCAACATCCATTGAGAATCCCGAGCATGCACTTGAGGGTACTCTGAGCTTTATCACCAGGAATAATGACATGAGTTACTATGGTGTTTAAAAAAAAAAGAAGAAGCAGTAAGCAAGACAGATATAATCCAAAATAACTACAATGAGCCTGCTTTTTAGAACTACTTAGCATATTCCATTAACATATTTGAATTTTCCTTCAAGGTAACAACTTCCACTTTTGTAAAAGATTTAGTTAGTATTCTCTAACCTGATCATCAAAAAAAGAAAAAAGAATCAGAGCATTATCTATATTTTAAAGCCACATTAACAAACATAAATTATTTAATATCTTCAAATTATAACTAAGAAATTATGGAATTACAATGTACTACCATTTGTTATAGTAAATTCATAAATCTGTTCTTCCAATATACTGTTGTCCTAAAGTATGTACAAGGCTTTAAACTTTATATTTTCTAACTACATTGTTTATAAATAGTTGATTACTATTTTAGATTTCAAGATCCAAAATAATAGCTAAAACATAAATTATCAAAGGAACTTATCCAAAGAGATTATTTAAAATTTTTTCTACCCGCCCCCAAAAACCTAAAAAAAAAAAAATCTCACCAGTACTGTCAAACTCAGTGCATTTTTTAGCTTTAAGCATTGCTGCCAGCTCTGCAAGCATTTTCTGTTGTTCCGAAGAAAGCCCACTGCCTATAAGCACAAGAGGTCCATCTCTACGCTGCCCGGCATTCACCTGTTAGTGAAAAAGGTAAAGCCACAATGGCAAAATTTAAACAAAAATACATTCAAAGATTAGGAGACAAAGAACAACTTCACTTGATATAACACTGAATTCCATTACCTTAATAATTCTCAATAATATATGAAATTTGCATTAAGAACTCTGAGGGCTGGGGAGGTAGCTCAGTCGTCTAAGCGCCTGCCTAGCAAGCACAAAGACTGGGCTTCGATCCCCAGTACTGCATGCCATGGTGGCCCCAGATTCCCAAGTGCACCATGCAGGCCCGAAAGTGGTGGCACACACCTACAATCCCAGTGTTGCAGAGGCTGAGATAGGAGGATCACTACAAGTTGGAACTAGGTGGTGAGACCCGGTACCCAATAAAAAAAAAAAAAAAAAAAAACTTTGATAAGATATTTTAATAACTTATTTTCTATTCCTTTGCTTTCCTCCAGAAAAAGATAAATTCAACATCCATGACCATAGGAAAAATATAAAATAAAACAACACTGTAATTCTATCTTTCCCAAGAAAGAATAGCCATCATCAAGAAATCAAGTAACACACATTGGTGAGGATATGGGGGAAAAAGGAACCCTTCTACATTGTTGGTGAGAGTACAACCAATATGGAAATCAGTATGGGGATTATTCGAAAAAACTAAAACTAAATGTTCCATTTGATCCAGCTATTCCCCTTCTGGGTATCTTCCTGAAAGAGTTCAAGACATCACATGACAGTGATACATGGATACTAATGTTTATAGCAGTACAATTCATGTTAGCTAAGTCTTGAAATCACCTGTAAGTCTATCAACAGATGAATGAATAAAAAGTGGTATTTACAAACAATGCAGTACTAGTCTGTCATTAAGAAAGACATACTGAGTCATTTGTAGAAAAATGGATGCACCTTGATACCATGTTAAATAAACACACAAGCATAAGTATCACCTAGTTTCTCTTATGAGAGGCTCACAATAAAAATGAAAAGCAAAATAAAACACAGACAATATGAAGTAGGGAGACAGATATTTCTCAAATACGAAGGGGATCAAGAGATAGAGGGAAGACTAAGGGAGTGAAGGAAAGAGGACAAGAAAGGAATTAAGATGTGTTATAAACATATGTCAGCTCCCTACCAGGAATGTAAGCATTATATACTGCAAACATGGACTAATTTAAAAAAAAAAAAAAAGGGGGGGGGGAAGAAAACATAAATTAGAGTATCTTCACCCAAGGTATCTTGTCTGCTCGATGCTGAGCTGATTTCTGTGGGTCTTCATTGTCTCACTGGAACCTTTTGTTCCCACGTAACCCAAAGCATCTACTTAAAATGACCAATTCCCCTGCCCTACAATTTAAGGCAATACAGTTAAACTTGAACTTGGTCTCTTTAAATGTACCTAAAGTGTCAAAATACGTTATGGCTTCTAAAATGAGACAGATTCAAAGAAAGAAAGAAAGAATCATTAACAAACAGTAGCCTCTCAAAAGTAAGATGAAAAGAGACAAGAGAATTCAAAAGTTAGGAGATCAATTCAATGAGTAGTGAAAAATCTATGCCACTCACGAGAAAAGGTGAAGCGCTGTCACAAAAACTAGCACTCTTGCCCTACTAGCTAGACTCAGAACTTACAAGAGGCAAAAGAGGATAAAGGAAGATCTCAGTGGACTGTGTAAAGATGTAAGTGGAAGATTCAAATAAATAATGACACAGTGGCTACAACAGGAGCCAACAGAAATTTAATAAATGAAACTGAGAGTTAGCCGAACATTCCCTGATAAAAGAGAAGTCAATGAGCCAGTGAAAAAGACAAGATAAATCAGCACCACTGTGTTAAAGGATACAATGCCAACTGCAGTATGAATATGCATACTGGCCATCCAGGCGTTCAAAGGCTTGGAAGGGTACAGCCACCAGGTTAGTTCAGTAATTTTTTTTTTTACGGTACCGAGGACTGAACTCAGGACCTTGCACTTGCCAGGCAAGCGCTTATTTTATTGAGCCATCTCCCCAGCTCCAAGTGCTTGTTTTTAAGAATTGACTTTACATATCAAAATAGTAATAACTTATTAGCCTCATAACACAGAGTATCACATCTAAATTGCTGGCTGCATCTATGAACAGGTTGACTGATCTTAATAATTCATTCACTCAAAATATATTAAGTCTACTAAACACATTTCTAAAAGACTTTCATGAAAAAGAGAATTAAAACTTTTTAAATTATAGTATTTAGCACTTAAAAGTTCAAACACCTAAACTAAGGGTTCTGGCAGCAGGTGTCTTACTGGCTGTGTCACACATGCCCACACACATTTTCATAATCTCATTTCTATACATGCATCTTTCCTGGCCACTAACTTATAAGATAATGTTATTATGTTCAGTGTACTTTATGAATTGTTCAACTACTGTACCATGGTAGTATTTTCAAAAGTTATGGTAAGAATTCTTGTCAGTCATACAAATAAGTATCATAAAATAGCTCTAACGACAATACATTTCTCAGTTTATACAACTGCACTTCAGGTAAATTAGTCCTTCACATAAAATACAAGAGAAAAGACATAATTTTTAAATACAGCACAGGATACTATTTGTACCAACCACAGAAAGCACCAAAGTGGATCAAAAATTTTCCTATCAGTTTTTAAAAGTCTGCATAAAAAACAGAGACTGCCACTAATTTCTTCAAGTTAAGGAAGGCTATGATAAAGCAGACGCCAAGCCACACGTCTGATTTGGGGCAGGGCAGCATGGGGTCTGGATATGATTTCAGTTAGAAGAGAGTTCTCAGAACTACAAGGCTTTCAAGAGGTTCAAAGAAATATCCCAAAGGTTCAATACCTTGATGTTATAGAGATAGATATTATATTTATCAGCATTAAGTAAATTCCACAAAGTAAAATTCACTGTGGTGCTTTTTCTTAGATTAAATTACTAATCATTGGTTAACAGTTTACCAAATAGGGAGTTAAAAAAAAATTTGGAAAAGGAAAAAAGGGGTTACAGACTGCTCAAAATGGATCATGGGCAGAGACATCCCATGATGAACATAGCCAGCGGCTTTTAGATCTCTGACATCAGAGGCTGCCTCTCAAAGTCAAAGCAGTGTCTTCCAATAGCCAAAACCTTTACCTCAAACAAACAATTCTAATGGGAAGCAAAAGGTCTCAAACCACACCCTCGGACAGGCACACTCTTTCTTTGGGATGTCCCTCCCATGAAGCAGCTCCACAGAGTAGCTTGGAAAACCCTGACAGGATTCTGGACCAGCAACCGCAGGCAAGCACGTGCCACCCCAGCTGGGCAGCTGCTCTCAGCGCAGGGCAAGCGTGCGCCGTACCAGGCTCTCTGGTGCGCATTTGCTTATGAACTTATTAAGCTCTCAGTATTTGTCAGACACTGTCCTTGAGGTAGGGGCTGCTAACATAAACACAAGAGTCTAAGCCTTCATGGAATTTATATTCTAGTTAGGAAGGGAACAAACCCAACAAAATTAGAATAGCTGATGTCAGACTATAGGTGGAGCAGTAAAACAGCAGAGGCAGGCATGAGCAGCACTGAGAGCTGCCATTTATGAGACAGGCTGCAGCTGGCCCTGAAGGCGTGAGGGTGCAGGCTGTGGGAAGATCTGGCTGGCCACATCCACCCTGCCACAAAACACCTGTAGTTAATGCTGTGGACTTGAACAAGCACATTGGGTGGAACTGAGACCCAGCCAGGCTGCCCCATGCAGAAGCCTGGGAGGGACTCGGGCAGGTGGATCCCAGAGATATCGCTGCAGGACTGCACACACAGAAACAACCCTTCAACTTACCAAGTTTGCCATTCATTAGCTTTTCTTAGCTATGTATCAACCATCAGACAGTAAACAACGATACTCATAGGCCATGTCCATATGGCATGCAGAGCGTGGAAATTTTTGATAATTAGTAAAATTCTTTTTTTGAAGGGCATTTTTATCCTTAGATCCAGAAACTCCACAGAGATATCTTTACTGTGATACATCTAAAGTAACTTTTCTCCAGGTTTTGCATACAAGGAACCCTAGCAAATGACAACTCAAATATGCTATGTTCTGCCAGAGAAGTTCAAGTACAAATGACTAAAATACATACCAGTTTATAGTTATTATATATGGCAGCACTGAATAAGAACTGACTTAAGACTTAAGAAATCTGAGTACTAACTGGTCCATTAATTTTTTTTTTTTTTTTTTTAATGTCTGGTTAATAACCCTGGGCAAAGCACAATCTTTCTAGGTCTTAGTTTTCTCATTTGTAAAAGGAGAAAATTAAACTGCTGACTTCTAGGTTCTCATGTAGTTCATTTCCAAAATTATAATTTGAAGCACATTTATAAAGGTAAAATCTGAAGCAGAAGATAAGCAGTTTTCAATAAAAGTAGCCCATGACCTTATCAAGCTGTAATTGCCACAGGCTCTCTCACCAACTGTAAACAACAGCCTCCATCACTCCCCACCACCCTTCCTGGGCAGGAAGTCTCCCCAGAAAGGCCCTGGCATTAGCGCATCTCTTTGTACCATCTGAGCCACCTGTGCACTACCAACTGAGCATCCTCTTTAGTCTATTCTCCCCTTTCTCTCTAACCCCCTCCTCTTTCTATGTCTCCCTTTAACTCTTATGTTAGCTGGGTATGCTGAGAATTTGGGGGTCATGCCTCTACATTTTTTTTTTTCTAGAACCGGGGATTGAACTGAGGCCCTTGCGCTTGCCAGGGAAGCACTCATTCCACTGAGCCATCTCCCCAGCCCATGAGCTGTGTATGTGTCTCTCAAACCCTTCTTTCTCTATTCCTACATTATTACCACCACCCACAGTCCCAGGCCTCATATTACTCATGTAAATGCAGCAGCCTCCTGGTAAACAGCTCTCTCCTGACTTCCACTATCCTCCTGACCAGAAGGTGCCCCCACTAAGTCTAAAGTGGCTAACAGCTATGATGGAATTCCAGACATTCGTAAGTAGATCCCAACCTAGTTCTCTGACCTGAATTCAACTTTACTACACCTATGTTCCTCTTATAGTGCCTCAAAACTAAGCTCCTTAGATTGAGACTGCCTTCTCCCTGTGTGTAACAGTGGGTAGTGTTGGGTGTGCACACAAAATCTATTCCTCACTCTCTTCACACTAACAGAAGCTCAATTCTGTATGGCACTGACTGAGGGACGGATCCTCTCTGACCCTAGGGTATGTCAAAAACCATCTGTGACCAGTTCGCACCAATAAGACTTAGGGCCCCCAGCAAGTCTCCTAGAAAAGACTTAATGGCTCTCTTTCAGCTGACACTGTCACAACTACAACTGTGGCGATCATCTTATAACCCACTAAGAGAGGTAAGTAAGGACACATTTGCCAAATCTACTGTGCAGCCTGCTAAAAATCCTACCCTTTAAAAACTTAAGACACATTCTGTCAAGTTCCTCCTGACCTTGTCTAAAGTTAGCTTTTTCCTTCACTGAGATTCTACTACTGAACATTTTAACAACTTCTACTATGAATTTATTACAATGTGCAGTAAAATTTTTATATCCATATTCCTAGAAAGGTATGGGTTAAGGAAAAGGCGAGCTTTCCACTGCTGCACATACCTCTCTGCTAAGCTCGACTCAGACATCCCACTACTTGGGAAAAATCTCCAGTGGGTATCTGTAGACATAAAACTTGCAAACTAGATGCTAATTCCCTCCTCCATGGCAGCAACGGTATCAAATGCTAATTTCACTCTTTGTGCAAACTTCGGATATAACTCACCAGAAAGCCCTCCTGGCATTATCCCAAATGTCTACTCCACGTTTTCTGACTTCTTATGATCTCCACTGCCACTCTCCTAGCCCAGGCACGTTGGCATCCTTCTCCTGGCACCATAAGCAGTCCCAGGGAATCTTTTTGCCTCTACGCTTGCCATATAGCCCCTCTTTCATAAAACAGGGTGAACTATGGAGCAAAAGTCTAAGCATGTCTTACCAGTGCTTTTAGTTCTTTTAACAGTTTCCCATTGCTCTTACTCAGTGGTCTCCGTGTTCTTTCTGACACTCAAACATACTTCCCTCATCCAACAAAGCACCCAGTAGCCTGTCAGACTGTTTGTTACCTGGCTGCCTCCTTCCTAGCATTATCTTTATTTTTTTGTTTGCTTGCCTTGGTTTTTTTTTTTTTTCAGTTCTGGTAATTGAACATAGGCCTTAACATTAAGGTGCACCTTTACTTCTAGCCCCTTTCTTCTTTACTTTTAATTTTGAGGGAAGTTCTTGCTCAGTTGCCCAAGCTGGCTTGAATTTGTGATCCTCTAACCTCAGCCTCCAGGAGATCTGAGATTATAAGGATGCGCCACCAAGCTTAATTAGCATTCAGGTTTGAATTCAAATCTGTCCCCACTCCCCAACCAAAAAAAAAAAAAAAAAAAATCAAATCTGTCCTTTGAAGGCCTTTCAAATATAAAGGCCTAGAAAATATAAAGCCCTAGAAAAAGTAGTGCCCTTTCAGAAGCCTACCAGCTCTACCCAATTACACTCCATACAATCTTCAAATACAATCTTCTGAAGTTATTTTATTTATATCAGAGTAGATATAGCCTTCTAAATTTTTTTAGTCCTCACTAGCAAGTAAATTCCTTGAAATAAGAGTTCTATCAGTCGTATTCATTGTTGTATGAATGCTGCCTGAAACACAAAGAGGATTTAAGTATTTCTTGATACACTTATTCTGATTATGTCAATGAATCCACAGTAGCTAATATTCAGGAAGTACTCAGTAATTGTTTAGGGAATGAAAGAAATTTGCTAACTGGAAATTTTTTCAGTATGCTCCTTTCACAACCAATTTCAATAAAAGATATAAATGTTCCAATGTTAAATCCATACTTACTACTGCACAAGGGCTAGTTGAGGATGATTCATTCTTCTCTGGGAGCAGCAATAATGACTTGATATTTTCATTGTCTGCACAATCCACAGGCCGCAGACCAAATATGTTACTGATAAAATAAAGTGCAGATGGATTTAAATAAATAAAACGTATGACTTAGTTCTTACAAAAATGAATGCACTGGTGGAAGTTTTCCAACATCCTTACTGAAACACAACTTTAACTACAATAAATGACTCAGAATTCACATTAGGCATAAGAACTGAATATCAAAAACTGTTGAATTCAACAGAGAAAAGATACAAAATTTCAATTTAACATTATATAGTATTTTCAGTTAACTATATTATAATCTACATAATTTTTTCACAATTCTGCATCCTATTTCTATTCATATTTCAAAATACAATTTCCTAATCAATCATTTTATGAGTGAAATGTTTTCACACAGAAATATGTCATCTTCCAAAAAAAAAAGTAATCTTCCACAATTACTGTAGGCTTTATAGTCTGTATAAACAAATACAAGATTAGATAAATTCATAGGGTAGGCATTTAGATACATGGGAAAGAAAACTTTCATACGACAAACATTAGAATAAGTGAACAGAGCATTCAAAAAGCTAATTCCAATGTGTATGTACAATCTACAATGACCACAGCCATCACTAAACAAACTGCTCTGGTTTAAAAACCAGTATGATAATCCAGGTTTCTCTGCATGCACTAATACTATAAGTTATAGAATATTACACCAGACAAGGCTCTAGAGATCACAGTAGACAGGAAAACAGAAAGCAGGTTCCAATGACTTGGTTAAGATCACATTTTCCTGTTTGTTCCAGTAGATTCAATATTACCCATCTTTAGTCTCCCATTTATAAGTAAACTGTTAAAACCATGGGACTTTGTCTATTACTGTTACTGCCTGATACACAGTAGTACCTAGGTACTCACTGATAATTTGTTCTGGGAGGTGGAAAGAGTATCAAACGAATTTTGGGCTGGAAAGAATAGTAAGTCATGAAGAAATCCACACCCACAAGATCTGGCTTGCATCTCACATACCAAATTCAGTGAGTTTCAACGCAGCTGAACACCAATGTACGTATGCACATGGCTTCAATACTTTAACGTATCATACTATGGCAATACATTTTCAAAATGAACATCTATTTTGTGGTTTTTAACATTATGATACATAGTATGTATACTATATATTTAAAAAAACTGATAGTTATTAAAGTTCTTGAGGGCTGGGGATTTACCTCAGTGACAGATCACTTGCCAAGGCCAAGGGTTCCATCAATAAAATCACAAATCCTAGTTCACAGGAAAAATGCAATGTGTGTTAAACAGGACATAAATAATAAACATAGTATATGAATTTTATAAATTGTATTGAGTGCAAAAAAGGTCCATAGAACATTAGGAAGAGAACCTTCAACTGTTTGTTAGTGTAGAGGTCATGTACCCGAGAGGTGCAAATCTCTACGTTGGCGATGGCCTGTAAGTCTGCCTGGATGGCCTAGGGAGGGGAAAAAGTTAGTGGATTACGGTAAGAAATGGGCCACAACAGAATGTGTTTCTAGTGACTGCATTTCATAACCATCATTGCTCCTTCCTTTCTTGGACAGTGCTGGATAAATACTGCAAAATCTGTGTGTACTCTTAAAAACTAGTTATTTTGAAAAGCTATGTTAAGACTTAGAAAACAATGTCCTTGCCTGTAATCTTACTGAGGACAAATTTTTATCCAGGAACTAAGTATCACACAGATAAAGTCTAAAGTAAACCACAAGTAACAAGATGAAATGTAAACTGATTTCCAAGAAGGCGAAGAACACACAGTGGGAAATGAAATGGTCTTGAGCCCAGGACTAGAAACTGGAACTCCAAGATGAATGCGAAAAGCCCAGTAAGGAATCCTACACTGCTGAAATGGATGGGTCTGAAGGAACAACATCTAGCAAGCTGAAGAATGGCATCACATGTGCTGAAGTGTAGGGGCCAAATACAAGAAAACAATAAAACAGTGAAGGCAATGAACATTAGAACTAGAAGCAAAAACAAAATGCATTGTCACAATCCACAAGCACATGTGTCTATTAGTTAAATCATACAGGTCACTGTAACACCAATACATTTAAAGACATTCTCAAGACACAGGAAAATCTCAGCATCTTAAGCGCTAAACTAATATTCAGTTCATGATAATGCATTAACTTTCACATGTACCACTTTTGACAGTTTAGCTCTTTAATACTCTTATCAAAGAGTTGCTTAAAATTTAGTAAATTTCACATTATACATAAATAATACATTTTATACATAATGAATCCTAAGAGTTAAATTTTCTAGTTATTGAAGCATTTTTCATGATCTTTGATCAAGGTGATACCCTTTAATTCCATATTTTCCCTATTCTTTTACAACAGAGTATGCTGACAGATTCTACAAGGTTTTTTTTTCCCCTAATCAATTCCTGCCCTATTTCTTTTATTGTGATTTTAAAAATTACACGTTGGAAAATGTTTCATTATAAAAATTTTGAAGCTACAGATTAAATTTTAAAACCTTGACAGAAGATATAAGCGTTCGTAAGACACTGCTTATCAAGGAAGGAATTTTGGGAGCTCATTGCTTCTGATACACTCTGACGGTAGAGTCTCTATGAAAACTAAAATATATGTAATGTATATACACACACAATACATATTTCACCAGTAGCAACAATCATTATAAGACACAGAGAATGAGCACACACGCTGGACACAGACGGGAAGTTAGAAGCACTACTCTGAAGCTGAAGTTGAAGACCTGACTCATTCAGCAAGTCTCTTTTTTCTTAATGTACCAAGAATTATTTTAGCCACTAATGAACCAATGATAGAAGAAGCTGTTTGTGCCATCACGGCGCTCAGTGGGCAAAACAGAAAGAAGCATATAAGGAGGACTGCGCAATCTAGTGATGCTTTCTAGAAAAGAAGCAGAAATGTGAGGTAGAAAAGTATACAAAGACTTTACGGGCAAAAGTGTGACGTATCAGAAATAGTGATTTAAAAAACATGTACCACAGGAATGGGCTGTTCTGAAATCCTAAGGGGACCAGATCATGCAAGAACAAAGGGGTGGTGCTAAGCTCCCGGGCTCACATCAGCAGCACATACACTAAAATGAAAGGTCAGGTCTTCCTTTCAAGAAGAGGCGCCGAATGTATCTAGGGATAGCTATAAGCAGGGGATAGCATCAACCAGGCACATGGTTAACAGACAGGGTTCCATATTTCAAAATTTAAAAAGTGTTGGGGTATATACAGTAGTGCAGAGCCCCTACATTCAAATCTTATTACAAAAAAGATAAAAAGAAGAGAGAAAGAGACAGAGAGGAGAGGGAGGAAGGGAGGGAGGGAGAGAAGGGGGGGAGAGAGACACACAGAGAGAGAACATAAACACCCGAATTTAAATTTTAGCTCTGCCAGTCAAGAGCTGTGTGACTTCAGATAAATTTGTTAAAATTGTTTTGCTTGCTTCTTAGTACATAAAAATGAGGATAATAATACAACCTACTTTTGAGAATACTACTAGGACCAGGAAACATATTAAAGGTGATTAGAGGCTGGGGAGATAGCTCAGCAGTCTAAGCACCTGCCTGGCAAGTGCAAGGAGCTGGGTTTGATCCCCGGTACCACCTGCCACACTGGCCCCAGAACCCTGGACACACTGTGCCAGCCACAGAAACTGGGCGTGGTGGCACATGCCTGTAATCTCAGAGCTACGGAGGTTGAGAAAGGAGGATCACTACAAGTCTGAGCTGCACAGCGAGACCCTGTACCAAATAAATACACAAATAAATTATTAAAGAAAAGTGATTACAACAGTACCTGGCAGATAGTACTATACCAGCTTAATGACTATTACTGATATTGCTAGATGTGCCTTAAGGAATGACATGACAGACACTTGCCTGCAGCTGTGCTGTGAATAATAAAAATGAGGAGAGATGGACAAATTAAACCTGTACCTGCACATGCAGATCATCCATTGCAAAACTATATGCATAGCCTTTTTACTAATGCCAAACCTATCACGCATGACAGGATGCCACGACAATCGATGAAAGAAATCCTTTACGAACAACTACAAAATTGAAAACACAAAAATTTAATTTTTCTAGTCACTCTTCTTGCTGTAAACAGGAAAAAGCACAATCATTCAAAAGCGCAACACAGTTTTTAAAGTTTTATAACAGGACTGGGAAGATGGTTTAGTGGAATAAGTGCTTCCCTGGCAAGCGCAAGGGCCTCAGTTCAATCCCCAGTTCCGCAAAAAAAATAAAAAAATAAAATAAATAAAGTTTTATAACATAAATTATCCTTGTTGCAGGTGATTCATGTTTTTTAAAAAAAAGAACCTAACTAGGGCAAGAAGAGCATTAATAGGTCCAGTGGTCCATATAATACTTACTTAAGAATTCAACATACTTTCAAGAAAAAATGATCTATTAATAGCGGAACAAATACCAAATCCTACATATCTGTTCAAGAACAGACACACACACACACACACACACACACACACACACACACACAGCTCATACTAATATTCTCCACATACTACAAATAGTTCTAAGGTGACGACAGGAAACTTCATCCTAGGTTCACTCCGCCATACACAGAAGGCAGTGTGGAAGACAGGCCAATGAGATGGTGCCAGTTAACTGATTATGTCAACTTAAATAAGAAATGCCCAATTAAACTGATTCAGGATAGTTCTGGGTATGGCTGAAGGGATTTAATGAAAACAGAAGACCCACCCTAGGCATGAGTGCCAACCACCCTGGCAGGCTCAGCACCTGATGGAATAAAAGGTAAACAGAAGGAAAGCTGGCTTCTCTTTCTTCTGAGGAGCTTGAGAGCTTCAGTCTTCCCCTTGGACATCACCTTCGGGCTTCTAGCATATTCTTCAGCCTCCAGAGCAGGCCTCTCAGGTTTCCCTCATGGATTCTTCAGCTCCAGCACAGACCCCTCAGGTTTCCATCACAGACTTTTCAGCCTCCAGACAGACTGCTTGGGACACAGCAGTGAGCCCCAGGCCTGCTACAGGATCC